ATTTGAGACAAACTTATAAAGGGAAAAATTTTTAGCCAAATTCAATTTACTAGCACGTCTAGCAAAATGCCTTGACTACAGCAAACTCTACTAAGTGACTGGCATGAAGGCGGAGAGCAAAGGCTTTCGAATCCATTTGTTGTTTTTTTTCCCCCAGCCTCAGTTCAAGATTATGAATCCATTTGTTTTCATATCTTGTTTTACCAATTACTAGCTGGGAGACCTTGGTCAAGCTTCTTTACCTTGTAAGCCTCAGTTCTCCACAAAAACAGCCATTCCCATGAGGCCTATGACACAGTGCCTTAGCACATAATGACAGGTACCACTTGCTGAGTGCTATTACCAAACTGAATTGTAGGAAGTTAAATAGCTGCAAAACTTTATTGCTGTACTACAGCCTTTAGCAGAGTTATCCATTTAGACTATTTAAAAATTTTTTTCCATTTAGATCATTTTTAAGTTCAATAAAATAATAAAAGCTTTTATATACACATCTGAGGCTTTGCTCTTCCTTTACAAATTTTTGGGTAGTCCAAGGCATTTAAGAATATCTTAAATGGTAGTATTATATACGTAATTTTTGTGTTAAAGAACAAGCTTTTTAAAAAATTTTGTCCAGAAGGAATAAGTTCTAACGTTCGATAGAGTAGTTACAACAGTGTATCATATATTTCAAAATAGCTGGAAGAGAGATTTTAAAATGCTCCCAACATGCAGAAATGATCATTGTTAGAGGTGATGGAGATCCTCAATACCCTTCTATATGTGTAACAAAGTATCATATGTACCCCATAAATATGTATAAATACTATGTATCAATTAAAAATTTTTTTTAAAATCTTGCGCTCTTTGGTGTTTTGTTTACTGAATTAGGCTGTAAATTCAAGCTCATCAGGTAAATTATTAACAATAATAGCAAACATTTACTGAGCTCTTACTATCTGCCCTGTCATACGAAGATACCTGGGCAATGAAAGAGTTTACTAAAAGGCTGCCAAAACATGTGTCAAGTTGCCTCAAACTTTGATATAACCAACACGAAAATTAGAGACCTTTATGAAAGTATCTGCTATAAATCAACTACTGGGCTGGGCACAGTGGTTCACGTCTGTAATCCTAGCACTCTGGAAAGCCAAGGCAAGAGGATTGCTTGAGCTCAGTTCAAGACCAGCCTGAGCAAGAGTGAGACCCTGCCTCTACTAAAAATAGAAAAATCAGCTGGGCATCATGGCGCATGCCTGTAGTTTCCAGCTATTTAGGAGGCTGAGGCAAGAAGGATCACTTGAGCTCAGGAGCTTGAGGTTGCACTGAGCTATGATTACGCCACTGCACTCTACTCGGGGCAACAAAGTGAGACTCTGTCTCAAAAAATATATATATATATATCTATATAACAACTACTGGACCGACCACAACACTTGAAAATCACCAGGTCCAACTCATTTTACAGATGAGAAACTGAGGCCCAAAGAGATTAATTCCAAAGGTCACAGAGTTACTAACACATGGGAACTAGAACCTAAGTGTCCCTATTTCAATTCAGTGTTTTCTCAATTACATGACAGCTGATGGTTTAAAAAGAGAAAGTACCTCAAAATGTTTCTACACTGCTGAGAAGAAAAGGAATACCTAAAATAAGTGAACGCTTGTTTAATGAAAGCTAAATATTAAGCACAAAATAATGTAACTCATACCCTGCAGTGAATACGCTAAAAGAGTTCCTATGACAGAAATAAATGGAATCATCTAGTCAACTGCGCAGTATCTAACGGAGGTGTCCCACTGGTACCACCACCAAAACGCTACCACCAGACTGTCACCTTTCGAATAAAACACACTTCAGAGCTACAGAGCACTTGAGTCAAGAAGCACTTCTTGACATTCTTCCAGAAAAGAAAAAAGTATCCTTAGCTCTATTCCCCAGATACATCTCACCTATGCACATAAGTTTTACCAAGTGCAAACATCCACTCTCTTTCAAAAAGAATGATGCTTACATAGTAAATGTTGGAAGACTTAAAAAAAAAAAAAAAAAAGATGCTGAATCAAGGCAGTTTTCATCCTTCCCGTGCTCTGAATCAGGCTTTCCATTTTTATTAAAATTCTTATTTCTATCAAGGTTGCATAGGCATGACCTAAATGCTTTCAGGCCCAGATATCAGGGACTAACCAAAGAGTATTCTTTAAATGGTCCCCTTTTTTCTTGGAAAAACATTTTTAAAATGTCAACCATTAACAAAAAGGTGAGTAACTAAAGATACCAGAAAGCAATATTATTTTCCTAAAGGAAAATTCCAAAATGTAACTTTGTTTAAAAGTAGAAAGTCATAGAACTTCGTATAAAAGGAAATACAAGACTTCCATAAAGACTTTGTCGTCAGGTAAGAATTTGGCCAGATACTCTCATTTATCCCCAACAGCCGAGAGACTGAATGCTGTACTAAACCATGTAATCAATTAAAATTTACCATATCCACTTGCTTAGTGTGCAAAAATAAAGAAAGAAATAATAAAAGAAAAAAAGAAAATAGTACCAAAGACACTATACACTAATTGCCAATTTTCAAATAAAATATACTCTAAACCTGTGTTGTCCAATATGGTAGCCACTAACCACATGTAGCTACTGAGCACTTGCAATGCGCTAGTCTGAACTGAGGTCTGCTGTAAATGTAAACTTCACCAGATTCACATAGGATTTCAAAGACTTAGTATAAAAAAATGTAAAATATCACATTAGTGACTTTTCCATATTAATTACATGTTGAAATGATAATATTTTGGATATACTGAGTTAAAACATATTACTAAAATTAATATCTTTTTGTTTTATGTAGTTTCATGTAGAAAACCTAAAATTCCATTTGTGGCTCACATTACATTTCTACTAGACAATGTTGTGCTCAACTATGCAAATATAATCCAATCTTCCTTTGATGATTCACCATGATAAACACCAAATACACAACAAATTGAGAAAAATCTTATTTGCATTTTAGATTCACAATTTAAGATACTGTCAAGTAAGAATGGCATGTTCTTAAAACTTCTATTAAATTTACATCCAATTCCAACCGTGTTAATAAAGGACGGACTCAATCCTACAAGTAGTATTTGTAGAGATCAAGAAGGAAATACAAAATAAAAGCCACAAAAGAGGGACTAAGAAATACCATCGGTTTCTAAAAGACATTTTAAAACAAAAGCAGTGTGTTTTAAATAGTTAATAGACGTATCTGTTTTTTAAAAACAGTATTTAATTGTTTTGAGTAATTTAAAGATTTGGGAAATTTCTGAGTAAATTTCCCAATTGCCAGCTAAACAAACTTCTTAAAAAGGACACCTGTTAAGGTAGAGACTCAGAACTCTCACCAGGTGGAAGAGATGTAAAATGCCTGAATTAACCATATGTAAATTTTAAGTCAAGTTTCTTGGCAGGTATTTATAATTAAACATTATACAATGATGAAACCAGTCAAAATTTTTACAGATATCCTTCAATGTTACTATAGTATGAATGCATCAATCAACTATTATAGTATTAAACTAAAACTGCTTCCAAAATTCCTAAACACCATAATGCCTTTCAAAATCTAGCGACAATTAGGGAGGGAATAGTTTCCAAATGTCTTATTTTACAGAGGTTAAATTAGAAATTGAAAATTCAAAGCCACGTTAACAATAACAAATATTTGCATGGCATTCTGTTTGACAAACACTTTTGGACACATCATCCTATTTGATCCTCAGGAAAGCCCTCAGATATTGGTACATTTTTAACCCTACTCCGGAGGCAATTCCAGGTTTAAAGACCTTGACTTGTTCAAGGTCACACAGCTGAAAAGTGGCATAACCAATATTTGATCCCAGATCTGATGCTCATCCAATTCTCTTTCCACTGTGAGACAATCATGCATTTAAAACCAAAAGTTTAGAAACCCAACAAGCCTAATGTTAAAGAAAGATCTAAGGATCAACTAGGTCAAACCTTAAGACTCTGAAAACACGATGTGCTGGAATCAGTTCAAAAAGAGAAGAGATTACTGAGAGACAGGAAATGACTTGAAAGATCAAGGGGGAAAATCTAATCTAGATGTCCTCGGGTGCAGCATAGCTGAGAAACTGCACTTTCTGTTGAAGTGATTTTCAATGTAGTGATTGTAGGTTAAAAAAATGATGGTGGTGTTACTTTACTAGAAATGTGTTTGAGAATTTTACTCAGTATACAAGCACTCAAGACCAATACATTCACCTGGGTACAACCAGCCCTACGTTTTTCCTCAGTCATGACGTTTACCTCTCAAAAAGCCAAATTAAAAAAAATGAGAATTCAGCACCCCCTGTAATTTAGATTATAAAGGAAAGGTCGGTAGGGGGATGGCAAATCTAACAACCAGTGTCTTCTAGTCGAAAGCGTCCTTAAGGGCAGGACAAAGGCACCGATACGACATCGAACCTCGTTCAACCTCCAGAGCAGCGAGAACAAACCGGTGAACGTGAAACGTGCCGACACGGATCCCACGGGCAGGGAACCCTAAGATGGCTCTCCGAGTCCGCGCACTGAGCGCACGTCCCCGGTGCAGGCCCATCTCGGGATCGGCGAAGGGCCGCGGGGACTTGGGTTCCGGGCGTGGGAGCCCGTACGCGGCGACCCTCGGGTATTTCGGGCAGGGCCACCGCCGCGCCGCAGACGCGTGCCCCGTCCGACCCGGCCAGGACGGCGGGAGAGACGACCGGCTCCCGGTCACCTGCTTTCTCGCCCCCGCACCCTCGCAGCCGGGGACGCCGGGCAGGAAGGGCCCCCAGCCCGGCCGCGCCGCCCCAGCCCCGCGCTGACAGCCGGCGCCGCCCCCACCTGCCCGCCCGGGGGGCGCCGCGGCCGGGCGCGCCCGCCCAGCCACTTCCTTCCCCGCCCGGGCCCGCGGGGGCGGGGAGCCGCGGCAGGAAGGAGGCTTGGCCCGCGGCCCGTGGAGGAAGCCGCCGCCGCCGCCCGCACCCACCGGCATCATCGCGGCGCGGGTCCGCGGCGCCCTCGGCCGCTGACAGCACGCTCGGCGCCGCGCCGCGCCCGCCGCTCCGGCAGCCCTCACAGGCCGCGCGCCCGCCGCGGCGCTCTCGGGCCTGGCTGCGGCGAGGCGGCGGCTGCGGCGGGCTGCAAGCCCTCGCCGGCTGTGTCGCGGCCGCCGGCGTGCTGCGTCGCTGTCCCGGTCACCGGCTGCCGCCGCCTCAGTCGCAGCCCGACCGCCTCCGGCCCGCCCGCCAGGCTCGCTCCCCAGCCCCCGCAGGCCACGCCCCCGACGCGACGCCCCACACGGGGCCTGTCGCCGCCTCTGATTGGCCCGGCGGGAGGGGACGGGAGGGGCGTGGCTTCCCCGGCCCCGCCCCCAACCTAGCTCGCGGCGGCGGCCAGGTGCGAGCGCGCCCGTGCGCGTCCGCGCTCCCGCGGCGGGGGAGGGGCGGGCGTTGAGGGCTCCTGGCCGCTGCTGTGGTCCGCGCGTGGCGGCCCCGTGGGACTGGGGCCGCGCGGGGACCCTGAGCCCCGACTCCCAGAGATTTCGGACGCAGGGAGAACGGAGGCACAAAGAGGGAAGGGCTGGCCGATCCCGCGGTGGGTGCCGGCGGGGCCGGACTCGAACCCGGGCTGCTGGGAGGCCGGCGGGGGCGGAGCGCATCCCCGCGGCGACGGCGCGCGCGCCCGCGCTCTGACCACCGCCTGACCCCGGGGTCCCGGGCGCCCGGAGCTGCAGGTCGGAGGTCCGGTGGGAAGGGTGCGAGGCCGCCGCCCGCGCGTTCGAGTGACCTGACCGGACCGGCGCTCGGCCCTGGCACCCGCTGCCCGCCCGGCGTCCTCCGCAGCCGCGTGCGGCGCTGCCTGGCCGCGCACGAGCGAGCCCCGCCCGGAGCCGGCGCCCACCTGTGCCAGCGCCCCGCGCGGTTCGGCCTGCGCGTCGCAGCGCGGGGTCCGGAGCCCGCGTCTGGGGTCCAGGCCTCTCCGTACGGCCCTGTCGGCCTGGGCGCCCGAGTGGCAGACGCCCGGGCAGGGCCTGGGGCAGAACCGCAGGACGGGCGGCCAGGCGGGCAGGCACCCTCCCTGCGCCCCCCGCATCGTGCCATTCGCTCGAGCCCTGGCAGGCGAGGCGGACGGACTCGTGTGCCCCCAGCAGGACTTAAGTTCGCACGAGCGTCCAGGACGTGAAGGTCTGTGGACGGCCGAACGCCGAAGGCCTCAACCACCGTGGGAAGCACCCGGCTCCTGGGAGGAGTGGCAGGAGTGGTCAAGGCCGGTCTGTGGCCTGTCTGGTCCTCGGAGAGGCTCCGGGGTGTGCCAAGTGGGGGCAGAGATAGGGAGTTACCACCAGCCCCATTCGTGGGGAGCCACCCCGTCCTTCAGAGGCCACAGGGCTTAGTGTTTGAGAGTGTGGACTTTCCAGTTAGGCATCCTTGGATCAGCACCTCTGCCACACCCTTGCTGTGTGATCTCAGACTGACCACGTCTCTCTGCATCTCAGTGTGCTCCTTTCTGTAATGGGAGATTGTAGGGATAATATGCCTCTGCTTGCGGGGTGGGTTTCAGGCGTGATGTGTGTAAAGCTCCTAGCACAATTCCTGGGAAATAGTCGCTGCTTCGTTGCTCCATAAATAGTATTCTGTAGTTATGCCATCATTAACAAGCAAGCTTAGTGTACAAATAAATGCCCCTGGGACTTTTATTTACACTGGGACATAAATGGCTAATGACACTTCTGGGAGCAGCGTTTGGAGAGAAGAGGAAGTTCTAGGTAATGGGTGATCTTAGGCTGGAAGTCAGAGACATACCTGAGTTCTAATTCTAACTCTGCTTCTGACTTCCTGTGGGGTCATAGGCAACTTGCACTCCTGTGGGGCCTCAGTTTCCCCATCTGTAACCGGAGAGGTATTAGATTTTGTGATCTCCTAAGCGTCTTCCAGCTCTGACATACTAATGTCCACGAGTCATGGAGGCTAAGGTGCAGGCCTATAATGCCTGACAAAGGACAGGCCTTGCCAGGGCCCTGCAGAAAGGCATCCCCTGGGATAAGGTGACCAAAATGAGCCTGCTCTCCCGAGAAGGGGAGCCTTGTCCACAAGGGCTCCACTCTTGTCTGCAAGACCTGTGGGCACAGACGGTGGCAGCTACCCTGCTGTCACACCAAGGCCCCCTGTATCCTCCAGGTAGATGTCCATTTGAGGCAGGCTGGTCAGCGCCTGCTGCCCCACCCACCAGGGGCTCTCCAGCTGGTCCTCCTCATCCTGTCCGCGCTGCCTGCTACCACCAGGCATCTGTCCCCACGCTCTCACGCCTTGACCAAGGGCATTCCTAATTAGCCCCCTGCTCTAACCTCCATGCTCCAACCATCTCCCACACGCTCCCGCCCTCGATCTTCCTGGAGCACAGAATTGGGGCACACATACACCCACCGGCCCTGTAAAGCCCTCTGTGTCTCCCCAAAGTTCACAGGAGGCCCATTGGGAATCGCCATGATTGGTGGGATATAGGCATCAGGGTTATGTGAGAAGACGACCGTATTGCTCAGAGATCCTAGCATGTGTGAGAAGTTCGAATTTTGCTTAGAAACAATTCAGCAAGAGGGAAAGAGAGTGAGGCAATTAGGAATACCTGAAGCGTACTTGGCAAATTCTCGATATTGGTTGAATCTGGGTGACATGTGGGGGTGCACTGTACTTTTCTCTGTACTTTGTATGTTTGAAATAGTTTATGTTAAGAAAGATTCAATATTGTTTAAAGCAAATAAAAAGGCCCTTTGGAGAAAATCAGTATATATGCATATTTGCATAAGAAAATTCTGGAAGGATCCACCAAATACTAATAAAGTAATGACTACAAGTGGGAATGGGAACTAGGCAAGATAAAAGATAGAAATCAGAATGAGACTTTTCATTATTATTTTTGTAAAAATAAACTTCATTTTTAGAACAGTTTACAGAAAAATTGCAAAGAGTTTGAAATACAGAGAGGTCCCAGATACTCCTCCCCCTTTTAGTCCCCCCCCTTTTTTTTTTTTTTAGGGACGGGGTCTCTCTGTGTTGCCCAGACTGGAGAGCAGTGCCTATTCGCAGGCACAATCTACAGCTACAGCCTCGAACTCCCGGGCCCAAGCAACCCTCCTGCCTGAGTCTCCCAAGTAGCAAGGACTGCAGGCACGTGCCACCGCGCCTGGCCAGTTTCCCTCAACATTTGTGTAGTACATCTATTACAACTTCTTTCCCCAAGAAAGAAGTTGCCTTTGTATCTGTTACAACCAATGAACCAATATCAATACATTATTATTAACTAAAGTCCATGCCTTTTTCAGATGTCCTTAGTTTTTACCTAATGTCCTCTGTTCCAGGATACATTTGGCCATGATGTCTCCTTAGGCTCCTCTTGGCTGTGACAGTTTCTTAGACTTTCCCTGTTTTTTATGGCTTTGACAGTTTTGAGGAGTACTGGTCAGGTATTTTGTAGAATGTGCTTGAGTTGAGATTTGCGTGATGTTTTTCTCGTGGTTAGACTGTGGTCGTGGGTTTTAGGGAGGAAGACCGCGGTGGTGAAATGCCATTCTCACGGCCTCACGTCAAGGGTACATACGATCAACATGATGTCACTGTTAATGTCGACCTCTATCACCTGCCCACTATTGCATTTCATGTTTGATTTTTTAATCTGGTGAATATATTACTATATTGAAATAAATTTTAAAAAACCTAAAGCCTGTGTTAGTTTGCTAGGCCTGCCATAATAGAATACCGCAGACTGGGTGGCTTAAACAACAGAAATTTATTTTCTCACGGTTCTGGAGGCTGGAAGTCCAAGATTAAGGTGCTGGCAGGTTGGTTCTTCTGAAAGCTGTCTCCTGGGCTTGCAGGGGACTGCCCTCTTGCTGGCGCTCCACGTGTTCTTTCCTCTGCGTGTGCACATTCCTGTGTCTCTTTCCCTCTACGGGGCACTAGTCATATTGGATTAGGGCCCAACCATAGGACCTCATTCAAACTAACTTACCTCTCTAAAGACCCTACTCCAAATACAGCACATTCTGAGGTGTATTGGGGTTAGGACTTCAACTTACAAATTTTGGGGGGACACACTGAGCCCATAGCAAGACCTGTCATAGCATGGCTCCATTCTACCTTCTCAAACCTGTCCCAGCCCCCGACATCTAACCTGTACCCTGGCCACCCTGAGCCCTCACCCTTCCTTCCTCCAGGCCCTTGTCCAGCCACCTCCCCCTGTGTGAGAAGCACTCTTCCCTGTGCCTCAGAAGTGTGACCTGTTCTTGTCGCAATTCAAACCCTTTTTCTGCAAGGGCTTCCCCAGATCCTCCAGGGATAACTCATCTCACCACCACCTCCCGGACTGCTGAGCCTGGGTCACCAGTCCCAATCTGCCGCCTTAGAGCTGTCAGTGTACCTGTCCACCCCAGAGGCCAGCAAGCTGACTCCATTAACCAGTGTCCACTGGGTTTCTTCCAAGTGCCAGGCCCTGGTCCGGGCCCTGGTGACACAGCCTCCAGCAAAACAGAAGAGGTCCCTGTTCTCACAGTTTGTATTCTGCTCAGGGGAGAAGATGATAAACAAGAACACAAACAACTGGTGCGTGTATTAAAATAACAAAGGCAGGTAATGGGACAGACACAACTGCTTTTACCAGGAGAAAGTGAGGTTTGAGTTGGGACCTGGATATTGAGGAGGCAGCCCTGCGGGGCTCAGGGAAGCCGAGGAGGAGGGGGAGGAGGAGGGAGAAGGAAGGAAGAGGGGAAGGAGGAGGAGGAGGGGGAGGAGGGGACAGAGGGAGGAGGAAGAGCCTGCTAGGAGGGGATATGCCTGCTGGGGGCTCAGTGCAGGGGCAGGGGGAACAGAGGGAGGTGAGATCAGGTTTGGGTTCTCGGACCACAGAGAGTAGGGATTTTGTTCTGGTGAGTTCCCGGGACTATCTCCTTATGAGATCTGACTCATGTTTTTCAATGTCCAGTGGCCAGCAGGGAGGCTGGCTGGCCTTGGTCAGGGTCAGGAGGGAGGCCCCGGCCATCGCCCGGCCTGCCACCCCTAACTGCCTCCAGTCCCACCCCAACCGGAGCTGCTCTCACCTCTGTCGCCAGGAGGGTGCTTCTAAAGCAGACATCAGACTGGCCGC